TAATAATGTTACTGAGTAACATCAAAAAGAGCCTATCGTAACATATTGTACGTTTATTCAATTTTTTCTAGTCTACCGAATAGCCAAAATCACTTTTCTTTATATGATTCGTAAGTCCAGAAAATTGGCAGTTCCTGCATTTATTCTATCAGCCAATACAGTAGCATCGTATGTTAAGCTTAGTTCTACTTTTCCCATCATATTCATGACTATAGTAGTCATAGCTAAACAAAAATCAGGAATAAAGTGGAATAAGTTGTATTGAAGCTGCTTTGCAAAATAAATTGCTTTAATTTTGGGCATCATCATTATCTTATGTGATTAACATTGATCGCTATATAACATTGTTACGGTGTAACTGTCACATAGCTGTCGTAACATATATTCCATAAGATAATCTTTCTAGTAATTTATTTAGATACCGTTATCTATAACATTTTATGTATTTTTAATAGATAAATGCATGCTTTTATGATATTGTCTATAAACCGATTATTACTATTTATATCAATTGACTACAAATTGACTGACTGGATTCAGTTTTGTCTAGGAGAATTAGTGATGCCACTATTCCTCCTAATGATAAAAGATCGTCAATGTTTAGATTCACACTGTAGGTTGAAATCTGGAAGAATAAACCTGCCAGTAGACTCGTAGTATAATTTCTATAATGATTTAAGCATTTCCTACGTTACAAGTTTCCGATTTGTAACCAACCTTTAAAGGTAAATTAAATAATAAATTGCCATTAAGTCATCACAAATTTTTTAGCAGCAACAGATGCAAGGACATTTTCAATTACTATAATTCTCTCAATCCGGTTAGTTTTTAAGGTAACTGTGAAGAAAAAGTACCATATAAATGTGATATAAGCCCATATGGAAGCGATAACGACAAAGTATTTTAGTTTATTCGACTTCTAGAGTTTATTATAGCCTATCCATTTCCATTATTATGTATTTCTATTTTATTTTTTTTATTAATTAATGGATGCCAAAAATAAATCATTTAGTGTCACATCTTTATAGAGCGCAGCTTAGATCGCTCTCAACATTTGCAAGCTACGAAATTGGTGATCTTAAGTGTAGTTTTAGTCAACATTAATATCATTCCCTACTATATTTCGTAAATATAGGTTTTAATTTCGGAACGGTGATATATATCTAAACTTTGGCATGCCTTAATCGTGAAGAATTTATATTCGTGCGTTCTTTCTTATTTTTAAACAACTCTTAATTCCTTCCAAAACATAATCTTATTCTGTTACTACTGTAAAAGTTTTCCTCATGTCATATTAACAAGTATACTTCTCATATGATAAACTTCATAACGTTAAAATAGTAAAGAAATTGTTTACCTAGTGATTAAGTCTCTCTGATGGGTAGTTGTTGTATTATCATCGTATGATTAAATGAATCCTGCGCGGAATCAGCAACTATGAAAATGTCAGTTTTCTTTTTTAAACTTTAATATCAGATCAAATTTGTTATTTAAAATTTAATATTGATTAAATTATTACTAAGTGTGTAAACGAAGTCATTTCTATTTTTACTTGAAAGCTTTGAGTAATTGAATTACTGTACTTATTCAATATTCTTATTCTCTCAATAATATATGTCATAAATTAATCTATTACCTTATAATTTCTCTGTATTACTTTTAAGATTACCCAAAAGATCGTGATATCAAGCCTAACTCAAAATTAAAACAAAAGCATTCATGTCATTCCAAGGAAGAAGTCAATAGGTATATCATGTTAAGAAACTAGCCCTAGCGGTGAAAGCACATCTCCATACG